AACATGGTATTATGCCTGAAGAGATAAGTATATACTGGCAAAAGAGGAAGGCAAGCTAAGAATCAACAGTAAAAATGCATAAGTCATCAGTTTCCATTACAGAAATGTCACATAAAACTTTCTTCTTTCTGTTTTGAATTGATTTTAGATTCCCTGAGTTTCGCTTCAGGTTTATGTTTCAGCCTTAAATGATCAAACATCAGTTCTCTGAGCTTGGCTTTCTTACTTTCTCAGGAATTCAAGCCAGCTTAGGCAATTCAACTTAACCAAAATTAGTCAAACACTGGAAAACCCTCAACACACCTGGCCTGTCTCAGCTGTATGACAACCTGGGCTTCAGGCTTCATTGCATTGATTTGTGGCACAGCAGTTAGCAGCATGCTTGGGGAGGGGGGACTAAGTCACGGGAATGCTGGGAATGAGGTGGGGAGAACAGGCTAGCAGCAGTTCTTGAAATGGACTATGTGAGAAAAATATTTACTTTCACTGCTAAAGCCATTGTGGCAACTGAAATGACACATATGCACTGGTAAAACAGTAGAATATTAGAAAGCTACTGTCTGGGAAGCAGACGGCACTGTCTTAAAAATATCCCTCACAGAAGGAACCTGGTAACATGGAACAAATAGTGTGAATAAATACCCAGGGCGGCAGGGAGAAAAAGAGCCCTGGAAAAGTGACCGCGAAACTGCAAAAATGACTATTTAGGACTGAAAGATTTCATGTGGAAACTTTTCTGCAGCTGTGACCATTTGTCTACATTAACAGACCTGTTTTGTGTTGTTTGGGGTTTTGACAAATTACAGTATCCTGTATTGTTCTCTCGTCTTGTGGAAAGAAAGGGAAATGTAACTCTACTAGGTTCTTTATCTTGCATTTTTACATTTCCACCAAATTCTCCTGAGCTCACCCAGAGTCGTAGACTAGATGAGAAAGCTTTTGAACTTTAATTGTACAGTCAGAGGGAAAGTTTTGGTCTTGACGATTCTGAGTCAGTCTAATGGAAATGAAAGCTGTGCAGGCTGGAAACCCTGGCTTGGCTGCCCGGGATCACGTGCAAGCCATGGAACGAGTGGCTGGGCTGGAGCTCGGAACAGCCTTTCCACCCCTTTGCCCAGTCGCCCTTCCCCACAATTTCCACAACCGCTTATCCCAACCCTACTTTCTGCTTGTCTTCATCCAACACAAATTAACACCTCCTCCAGGACCAATGTAAAGTTATCGAATCAACAATTCAGAAAGTATTACTACTTTTCAATGACCAGTAGATGCTCTCCTTTTGTTTTTTAAGCTTGAAGAGGAGGATTTGGCATGATTTAGGCAAAAAGAATATGCTCATGCTTGACTCTTCTCTCTCTCTCTCGCTTTCTCTCTCCCCCCCCACACACACATGAATGCTGTTTTTGTTTTTTTTTTTAAAGAGTTTATTTGCAACAGAGGGATAACTGATTGGAAGAGAACTGGAGTGACAGAGTGCTTGTCTATCACCTTCTACTCATTGTTATTACATGGGATACAGAGGGAGAAAGAGGAGTTTCTGCTTCTTATTTCCACTTATGGACACGAACGTTAGTTTTTATAAAAATAGTCTCCATGGTGGGTTGAACTGTGGCCCCCAACAAAATATGCCCATGTCCTGACCACCAGAGCCTGGGAAAAGGGGTCTTAGCAGATATAGTTAAATTAAGGAACTTGACATAAGGTCATCCTGGATTATCTCAAGAAAGAATGTGAAAGAATGAATTTCTGTTATTTTAAGTTACCAAATTTGTAGGAATTTGTTACAGCAGCCTCAGGAAACTAACATAGCTAACTAAAGTCTTTATCAGTTTCCGTATCCACAGTTTCTGTTACTTAGTCATTTATTCAGAAAACAAATAGGCAATGCATCAGGCACTGAACAACGCATGAGAGATACAGAGTTAAAATAAAAAAAAAAAACTCAAGAGCTTTATAAACTGGTAGAGAGAAGCAGACATGTAGACTAGGAAGTACAGTGAAGTATTACAGTGTCATTATTATGTGCAGGCCCAAGAAGGAAATGGTCACTGCTTCCTGGGACAGTCACAAAAGGGTTCTGAAAAGAACACAGGGAAGCTAGAATGCATTTGCTGGCTGAGTGGGTTGACAATGGGATGGAGGGAATTCTTGGAAGAGAAAGCAGCATGAGAGAAGTATGGAGGTATGAAATCACATAGCTTCTATGGGAACTGGATGTTTTTAAGTATATCTAGTAAGACTCCAGAGTAGGCATGGTGAGAGAAAATGCTAAGGGGTAGATAAGGGCCAGATTTTAGAGCGCCATGTCAGCCGAGATAGAGCGTTTGGAATGCATCCTATGGAGAATGGGAAGCCACTTGAGGGTTTTAAGCAGAGTGGCAACATGATCACACTTGTTTTTCAAAAAGATTGCTGTGATAGAGGTGGGCAGGGCTCCTTGGAGACTCAAGCCCAAGGCTGGGAGATTAAGAGAGTACTGATGTGGTTAAGGGGCAGATGACGAAGGCTGAACTAAGGCACAGTTGTGAGGCTGGAGCAGTAGAAATGGCAAAAAAAAATAAAAAGAGAGAAACAAAGCAGTCTGAGAAAAGACAGAGTTTGAGTTAGAGAAGTAAGAAGCAAACAGAGTAAATTCTACTATCGTACCCAATAGGGACGACAGTATTAAGAAGGGAGTAACAACAGTCAGAAGCCATTGAGAAGCCAAGTAATGTGAAGAATGAGAAGCATCCATTGGATTTGTCAATGAAGAGGCTACTGGTGGCTTTGCCAGAGGAGCTGGAGAATAGATGTTATCCACCAGCACTGGAAATTGCTGGCAGGTCAGTTAGCATCAGCAAACCAACACGGTCGGCCATAGATCAGTAGTTGTCAAAGCGAGTTCCCCACACTCTCCCAGCATCGTCTGGGAAGGTAGAAATGCATGTTTTCCTGTCCCACCCCCGATGAACCAGACATGCTGGGGTGGAGGTGCACAAGCTGGGTTCTAACAGCCCTCCGTCCCTGCTAGTGCTAAAGTCTGAGCACCACCTGCACACACTAGACTGGGCCTTACTACTGAAAATATGATCCACGGATCACATGGGAGCTTGTTACAAATGCAGAATTTTGGAACCTACGCCTGACCCACTGAATCAGAGTCTGCATTTTAACAAGATCTCTTGGGATTCAGTTGCACAGTGAAGTTTGAGAAGCACCATTGAAAGGTTTTAATCTCAATAGCTTCTTTGTCCAACATCTAACATTACCTATTACCTGAGTCCAGTAAATTGCTAATTCAAGGAATGGAAGAGAGAATTCAATAGAACACACCAACATTTCCTCCTCTCAAGTGGGATAATAAGAGATAACAAATGGGCTATAGCTTAAATAAGACCACGAACATTGCAGATGCTGCCAAATTAATGTAGGTGCTTTCTAATTCTTTGGCATTCATTCGTGGGTTACAGAAATACATGCTTTTCTTCAAAAAGATATAAAATTTACTAGAGTTAATTATATTATTCTGGTGGAAAATAATATCAGGCCATTAAAACTTCATTCAAAAAAGTCTCTCAGAATCCTTGACAGGGGGAGGATGAGAATAGATCTTTTAAATGACTTAGTGGGGAATTGCTTGTGTTAAGAAACCAAAAACATTAAGATCTGTCCAATTGACTGTATGTAAAACAGTGCTTAATAAGAAAGAAACCAAGAACGATTATATCTACTTAGTATAAATATAGTTTAGCCCAAAGGTTCTCAAAATGTCCTCAGACCAGCAGCATTGACATCACCAATGAGCTTGTTAGAAATGTAAATAACTGGGCTCTGCTCTGGCCAATTGGACCAGAATCTCTGGGTCTGGGATGCAGGAAACTGTTCAACAGGTCCTCTGGGGGATTCTGATACACGTTGACATTTGAGAAGCACTGGTTTAGGCACCAGAGGCACTCTGTACAAAACACTTCTGCCTGCTTGTCTCTCTTTATCTAAAACACCTCCAAAAAACTCTTCTCCATTTGTGTTTCCATTTACCCTTCAAGTCCTTTCATGGCTCCTTCTTTCCTCCTTCCTCTTTCTTCTTCCTCTATCTACCTATGTCTTTCTGTTCTACTTTTTCACTTCCTATTTCTTTCCTAGCTCACTTTAGCTTTGAATTGCCCTGTTCTCAAAGATGCATACAAATCTAGCACTTCTGCTCAGAAGTTTGCCAGCCTAAGCAAGTCTATCAGATACCCATGCTCAGCATTATGAAAGAAACGAAACAGTACATCAGCCACTTTGTTCTTAAAACAATGCAGCTTGCAGATACAACAATATAGAACCAGTCACTGTACAGCACTTTGGTACTGATGTGACTTTAATTAGCAAGAGCACTCATGACTGTCATGTGCTAATTGTCCACAAAATGTGTGCTGGCCAAGAAGAATACAAGATTTTCAGCTTACAGGCAATTTACCAGAACACTTGGGCCCTATAGTAGGATTAAGTGTTTGTGCCATCACCATAGGAGGGTAATAACCACAACAGGAACCAATATTAATGTTAGAAAAACAGTGCTCTTTTGTGTGATGGAAATAGTTTGTCTTTATTATATAGTCTACCAGTAATAATAATAATTGCTTATAATTATTTAGTATTAAATATGCTCCAGGCCCTTTTCTGTAAGCTTTACAGTTATTAATGTATTTAAACTTCCCCCAAAATTTATGAGTTCAGTACAATCATCATCTTCATTTTACAGATGAAAGAATGGAGGAGACATGAGCTTAAGTCACTTGTCCGGGGTCACCTTGCTAGATGGTATTGCAAATAGGCAATCTAGCTTTGAGGTTCTAGACTGTAACTACTGTTTTACACTGCCTCTCAGGTGAGAATGAGTTGAATTATATTATACAAGGCATATTTGAATTTCACATTCCTTCATATTTCACAGGGAGTGACCAGGTTCACTAAGTATTTTTATGTCCTAACACTTTCAGTTGGAAACAGCATGATTTGGTGGGACAAACACTAACCTGGGAGCCAAAAGTCCTTGAATTTAATCCTGTGTTATAGGCAACTTGCTGTATGACTGTGGGGAAACTCATAGGTTTAATATTAACAGGACATAATTTCTTCTCTTGTGAAAAGATAATGTTAGACTTCATTAGATCATATTTGTGGCTCTTTCCAGATCCAACATGCTGTGAATTCTAAAAATAAAACATAGGTCCAGGAAATCATTAGACTTAGGAACATAATGATACACAGAAGCATAATTAATCATAATTAATCAATTTTATAATTATTCCTTTAACTATAACATAAACCAATAACTCAATATGGCATAATTCTTGGTTATTAAATCAGAGCAGGAGTGTTTGCTACTATGTGAATAACATGCATAGAAATAAAATAAAAGCTAAAGTATATTTCCTCAATATAATAAAGGCCAGAGGTCAGGGATTACAATAATTTCCTACTGCTGCTGTAACAAATTATCACAAATTTAGTGGCTTAAAACAACACAAGTTTACCTGCATCTCTGGAGGTCTGAAATCTTTAATATGTCTCACAGTGCTAAAAGCAAACATCAGCAGGTATGCATTCCTTCTGGAGGCCTAGAAGGCAATCCATTTCTTTGCCTTTTTCCAGTTTCTACACACTGTCCACATTCCTGGGCAGATGGCACCCTTCTTCTCCGTTTTCAAAGCCAACAGTGGCAGATTGAGTCCCTCTCACATCACATCACTCTGACCTCTTCTATCTTCTTCTTTCACTTACAAAGAGCGTTATGACTACATAAGGTGCACCTGCAGAATCCAGGATAACCTTTGCATCTCAATATCCTTAATTTAACCACATCTGCAAGGTCCTTTTGCAATGTAAGATAACCCAATAGCAGGTTTCAGGGATTAGAAAATGAACATCTTTGTTGGGGGGGGTGCATATTTTGCCTACCATGGAGATACTTTATTGTTCCCCAGGAAGCCTTCTAATTCATGTATTTAAAAACAAAAACTTGTTCATAAGAAAAAGGAAAAAGATTCAATTCTGAAATATTGTAAGATGTCTTTCAATTTAACAATACATTCACACTTAATAATGAAGTTCATATGTTCATTTATTGAAGATTTTCTAGAGCTGATGTTGTTTTAAGTACAAAGAATGTTAGAGCCCAAAAAGACCATAGAGAGGATCCAGTGAAGTCAAACTTCCTTGTTGTATGGATGAGGGAACTAAGGCCAAGGGAAGCTCACCTAGGGACAGAGGTGAGCTTAAAGACTCCTGGCTTGATACCCAGGTCTAGGTCTCCTCTGTTATTAAGCCTTTAGGCTGCCTCTCATTTTCTCATTCTTCCAGTCATTCCTGAGACTTCCGTGCAAAATGTCTTCACTTCATGGTTAAGGAAGAATCCTAGCTAAACATTCTTTGGCATACCACGAAACTCGGACACTGTCCGTAGCTGATACTAATGATTAAAGCAGGTTTCGGACTCTTCCCCCTTTTTGGGGGAAGTGCATGGAAGAGCAAGATACCATATGGAAAAAAAAAAAAAAAAGTCTTGTCTTTTGATTGCCACGTGAGGATAAAGAGTAGGAGGAAAACTATGCTGTGGTAAGGAAAGTAGCTGAACCACAGATGAGGTGTTCATTGAAAAAACATTTAGTAAATTCCACTTCTTACCCTTAAATTGTGGCAAATGCAATGTGTTAGTTGCCATGCTAATAAGAAGATTTAATTTCATATGTACTGTTTATAAAGCAAAAATTACATTAAAAACAAAAATGTGAGAGTTAACAAACTTAGTTGAGTCCTTAATGTAACAGCCTTTCTATGTCAAATCCTTGTTTGCAAAAGAAAATCTTAACCTCTACATGGCCCAGAACAAAGAGAGTACAACACCAACCCTAAACACAAGCAGCAGGAACAGCATTGCCAGCCCCCCATCCCCATTCCGCTCCCCAATTTTTCCCTTTCCTAAAATGCATAAAATTTCAGCATCTCCTTGGAGAAGAGCAATAAAGCCATTCTGAAATTCTCCCGTTCAAAAACCCCTATCAAGGCTGGGCACAGTGGCTCAGGCCTATAATCCCAGCACTTTGGGAGGTTGAGGTAGGAAGATCGCTTGAGGCCAGTTCAAGACCCGCCTGAGCAAAATAGCAAGACACTGTCTCTTAAAAAACAAAACAAAACAAAAACCTTACCTATGAAGGTTCAAAAGTGTATGATGATTTCAATAGATGCCAAGAAAGGATTTGTTGAAATATAAAACCCATTCCTGATTTTTTGTTTTTTAATCCCCTTTGAACAAGCTAGTAATGGAAAGAAACATTGTTGTTTTTTCTAAATTTTTTTTTAGTTTTTCTTTTTAGAGATAGGATCTCTCTCTGTCACCCAGGCTGGAGTTCAGTGGCATGATCATAGCTCACTGCAACCTCAAACTCCTAGACTCAAGTGATCCTCCTACCTCAGCTTCCCCGAAAGTAGCTGGGACTACAGGCACATGTCACCACACCCAATTAATTTAAAAAAATTTTTTGTAGAGACAGGGTCTCACTACATTGCCCAGGCTGGTCTCAAATTCCTGGCCTCAAGTGATTATACCACCTTGGCATCCTAAAATGCTGAGATTACAGGCATGAACCACTGCACTAGGCCCAAAAGGAGTATTCTTAAATAGACTTATTATAGAGGACCAACTAGAATACTAAAGCAAAAACCATAATGGTCGAACCCATGCTCTTAAAGAGTTCAATCAGCTTTTTAGTGATTCATTCATAATATGAGTAAATAGCCAAGGATCCCCTGACATTTGGTTTAAACCTCTAATAAAATCAAAATAAATAAGCACATAGGGAAAAAATGTAGGAAGCAGAAGAACAACCAAAAAGATTTTTTAAGAAACTATAGGAAAAAAAAAAAGAGGAGAAGAAAGAAAAAGAAAAGGAGAGAAAGAAAGAGTAAGGGGAAGGAAGGAGGGAAAGTAGTAAGGGAGGGGGAGAAAGGAGGGAAAAAACATTCAAATAGCATAAAGAGCTCTGGAAATTTAGAAGTTTATGGGAAAAACAAAATAAAGCAAGAACAAGAGAAATATTGGAAGATAAAGTGGAGAAAATCTCCCAGAAAATGGAACAAAATGATAAAGGCACTAAAAATAATGGAGAAAAGATAATGAGAGAACCAATCTAGAGATCCAATATCTGAAAAATAGAAATTCTAAAGAGAAGGCTCAGAGAAGGTAGTAGGGAAGACATTACTGAAGAAATAATATAAGAAAACTTCCAAAACTAGTGTTAAAATGAGTTTCCAAATTTAATAACAAAGTGCCAAGTCACATCAAGCCATATCACTGTGAAATTTCAGACTACTTTTAACAAAGAGAAGATTCTGTGAGCTTCCAGAAAGAAAAACAGGTTCCACAAAATGACATTATATTTCGAATAGTGGCATTTTTAGGAAGTAAGTAAAGAAGAAATATCTTCAAAATTTAGAAGAGAAAATATTTCTAACATAAACTCTTGAATTCATCCAAGTTATAAATCAAATTGAGTATGAAAATTTCAGTCATTTAGGTCTTAAAAACTTTACTTTCCATGAATCCTTCTGAAAAAGCTACTGGAGAATGTGTACCACAAAAATAAGGGGGTAAAGCAAGAAAGAGAAAGACTTTTGATTCCAACAACAGGGAATACAAGAAAAGAAAGAAGTCAAAGGACTTACTAGACTGATGGTAAATGGAAAGCCTGGGATGACTGATGTTCAGCTAACTAGACAGCAGTTATTTCCAGTTGGTGAAAGAAATCTCTACCGGCCAAGAAAGGCTAAGTTATGCTCCAGTAATAAGCAGCTCCAAAAAAAACCTCAGTGAATTAAAACATCAAAAGTTAATTTCTCACTCACTCTACATGTCCACTGTGGATTAACTTGGTTAACAGACAATCTGCTTCTTTTAATCATTCAAAAACAATGCCAAAAGGGCAGTCCCCTTCTAAGTCAATGGTAATTAGAGTGATGAGGTCTTGCCACAGGAATAGACAAACAGACCAATGAAACAAAATCTAGAGCCCAGAAACAAACAGGAGTATATGAAGTTAATGTATTCCAGAGCTGGCATAGTAGTTCAAAGAAAAGAAAGGGACTATTCTAAAAATGATGCTGGAACAACTGGAATACACATGGATTAAAATAAAATTGGATTTCTATCTCAAATCCTTACTAAAAATCAGTTGCAAGTTGATTAAATACTGAAAAACCTTAACAGTTGAAAGATAATATTAGAAAATTTTTATGAGATAATACAGAAATATGTCTTTATTGACTTGGATTAAAGAAGACAAATGTATAAACTATAAATAAAAAATTGATATATTTGTCTATATTTAAATGTAGAATTATTATCCATCAAAAGGTGCATAGCAAAGATCCAAACAAATTAATACAACATGATAGCCCATGAGAGCCCATGAGAGACTCACACACTTATAGTCACCTGAATTATGACAAAGGTATCACTGTAATTCAGTGGGAAAAGGATGATTTTTTTCAACAAATTCTGCTTGGTCAGTTGGATATTAATATAGAAAAAGTTAATTTGGACACCTTCATACTACATACAAAACATAATTCAAAATGGATTATAGACTTAAATATGAAAGTTCAAACAGTCTAATTTTTAGATGAAAACATATAACTTTGGAGTAGGCAAAGATTTCTTAAGCACAAAACCTTTGTGTAATGTTAAAAACTTTTTCTTTTATTTTTCATTTATTTATTTTTTATTTCAGCATATTATGGGTGTACAAATGTTAAGATTACATGTATTGCCCATGCCCTCCCTCCGCCCTCAAGTCAGAGCTTCAAGCGTGACCATCCCCCAAACGTTGCACATCTCACTCACTATGTTTGTATACACCCATCTTGTACTTCATTAAAATTAAGAATTCTGTTTATCGAAAACAAAATGAAGAGAATAAAAGAGCAAGTCACAGACCTGAAGAAGATAGTTTCATTACATATGTCCAATAATGGACTTGAATATATAATAAATAAAAAAATACATGCCACTATCAGAAAACTGGCAATACAAAAAAAAGTGAGCAAAAAACATTACCATTTTTAAAAGAAATTTATGAATGACCTGTGAAAAGTTGCTTAACATCATTAATCATCAGGAAAATGCAAATCAAAGAGAAATGAGCATATGAGGTTA